GATTGGCGTAGAGCACGAGTGCCATGCATTGTCTCTGACGGTGGGAGGACACCTCCGGGTGTTCAATGGTTTGCTACTGCCCGCCTCAAGCCAGGCAGCCCCTGGTCAAATTGGTGCAAACCCGCCAAAAACCCACCTGCGTCTGGCCGTGGTCGCAGGTGCGTATCCTATTACGGTCGCAAAAATATGATAATTGTTCCAGTACCTCAAACGCTGCATGTGACCGCCGTCAAGCAGATCCCCATCTGTCTCTGCAATCACATTCCCGAGCTGGATCTGCTCCCCACTGCCTTGTGGGTCAGGCTATTGAGCCAAAGGCTCCGGGTGGAGTCCCTCAAGCAAACCTCAAAATCACCCACTGCCTTGTGGGTCAGGCTATTGAGCCAAAGGCTCCGGACGGAGTCCCTCGAGCAGACCTCCGAAGCACAACGACCACCTCGCGTGCCATTGCCCACCAATGCAATCGTATGCCTGCGCGCAAAGCACTCAGCATCGGGTGCTGGAACGTGCGCACACTACTGGACCAGAATTCCAGCGAGCGCCCGGAGCGACGCACTGCACTGGTCGCGATGCAGCTGGCGCGCTACAACATCGATATTGCGGCGCTCAGTGAAACCCGGCTCGCTGAGCAAGGTAAGTTGCATGAAACAGGTGCTGGCTACACATTCTACTGGGTGGGCAACGCCGCCTCAGCACCACGTGATCATGGGGTCGGATTTGCAATATCCGATCGCCTCCATGGCCAGCTAGTGGGTGAACCAACAGGCATCAGCGCGTGACTGATGACCGTTCGCCTACGACTCGGAAGAGGTAAGTTTGCTACTTTTATAAGTACATACGGCCCGACCATGTGTTATCCTGATGACACGCGTGATCAGTCCTACACTGAGCTATCCTCCGTGATACGGTCTGTGCCAAGGAGCGACGGACTATTTCTGCTGGGTGATTTCAACGCGCGCGTTGGGCGTGATGCATCAGCGTGGATAGATGTTATCGGTTCGCATGGCATTGGTTCAACGAATGCGAACGGTGACAGGCTGCTCTCACTGTGTGCCACTCACGGCCTGACGATCACGAACACTCGGTTTGCACTGAGTGCGAGTGATATAGCAACTTGGACGCACCCACGGAGTGGTCACGCTCACCTGCTCGACTATGTCATCGTACGTCAGCGTGATATGCGTGAATTGCGCATGACACGTGTACTGCGTGCAGCTGAGTGTGGCACTGATCACAAGTTGGTGCGGACCAAACTGTACATAAATTTTCGTAAATCAATATATTGCACTCCTGCCGTGAATCGGCGTAAATTTAACATTCTCTCCCTCGGTACTGTGGCGAAACGTACTGAGCTGGAGAAGGCGATGGCTGCACGCCTGTGTGGTGATGTGGACTGTATAGCCACAGTGGGCGACCTGTGGCACCACATTCGCGACCAGGTGACAGCTGCTGCGGAGGAGACCATCGGGCGCGCAAACTGTAAGCGGCCTGATTGGTTTGATGACAACAATGTGACGATTAGCGCATTGGAGTCAGAGAAGAATGCAGCATTTGCTGCACATGTGGCAGACCAGGGTGACTTGGGGAAGAGTAGTGAGTTTCGCAAACTTCGACGGCGACTGACCCGAGAGCTCCGTCGCATTAAAAATGCATGGTGGACGGAGAAGGCGAAGCAGATGGAATGCTACGCCGAACGCCGTCAACACAAGGGATTCTTTGACTCCTTGAAGGCGGTGTATGGACCGAGATTGGAGCCGCTGAGGACACTGATCGATGGTAGTTCAGGCGCTAACTGCACCCAGACTGCAGACATAATGCAGATTTGGCGGAAACACTTTGACTGTCTCTTGAACAACCGTTCAGAGATCGACTGGCCTACATTGAACGGCCTGAAGCAGTACGATGTGAAGGCGGATCTGGCGGATACGCCGACACTGGATGAGACGCAGAGAGCACTTGCTCAGCTGCGAAACGGCAAGTGTGCCGGAGCCGACGGGATCCCGCCGGAAGTATTGAAACACGGCGGACCCGCGTTGTTGACTTCGCTGCACCACCTGGTGCAACGCGTGTGGATTGAGGAGGAGGTGCCTGCTGAGCTGAAGGATGCCCTTGTGCTACCACTGTACAAGGGCAAAGGTAGCAAGCAATGTTGCACGAATTATCGTGGCATCAACTTGCTGAGTTGTGTGGGCAAGGTGATTGCCCGAATCCTGCTCAACCGCCTCGTGCGTCAGGTTGTGGAACCTAACGTGGCGGCAAAGCAGCGTGGATACCGTTCGGGACGCAACAGTATAGATATAATGTTTGCGGCCCGCCGGTTTTAGAAGAAGTGCAGAAAACGACGCCACCCATTGTACTCGCTTTTTGTTGACTTCACCAAGTCCTTTGTTATGGTGAACCGCGAGGCATTGTGGCTGGTGTTGGGTAAGTTTGGTTGCCCGCGTAAGTTTGTAAGTTTAATTGAATGTCTGCAGAGTGGTATGCGAGCGAGGGTGCAGCTGAGTGGAGAGACCTCGGATGACTTTGCAGTTGTCTCTGGTGTGAAGCAAGCCTGTGTCTTAGTTCTTGCCCTGTTTAATATATATCTTCATGCAATGTTGTCTTGTGCTTTTGATGCCGCTTATGCTTACAGTGTTCGTGTGGAGCACCGTATTGATGGTGGGTTGCTGAACATCCGTCGTTTCGGTGCGAGAACTCTGGTCTGTGAGACAACTATCCGTATGTTGCTGTTTGCTGACGACTGTGCGTTGTTTTCACACAGCGCGGATGAGTTGCAGCACATGACTAGTGCTCTGGCTTCGACAGCGGCCAAATTCGGGCTCACCATCAACACAAGCAAAACTGTCTGTCTCTTTCAGCCTTCACCGGAGGTGCAATCTTCAGCATTGGTGCTGAAGTATTGGGAACCACCTCCTGTTTCAGCTACCTTGGGAGTGTGATGTCGGCTGACCAGCAGCTACACGTTGAGCTGCGTATTCGCGTGTCGAAGGCAACGGCAGCATTCGGGAACCTTGAGTACCGAGTGTGGAACAACCATCAGCTTAGCATTGGCACGAAGCTGATGGTATACAAATCCATGGTACTGTCCGTTCTTCTATACGGCAGTGAAACGTGAACGATGTACCGTCGGGATATGCGATATCTCGAGCGGTTACATCAGTAGTGTTTGCGACGAATTTTGCGCATCAGTTGGGGCGACAGAGTTGCAGACACGGAAGTGTTGCGACAAAGTGAGATGCCTGCAGTGGACTGCATACTTTTACAGAGACACCTGAGATGGCTCGGTCATGTGTGGCGCATGGATTCGACTCGGATACCGAAACAACTCTTATACGGTCAGCTGAGTAATGGGAAGCGGCACGTGGGGAAACCAAAGTTACGTTACCAGGACATGATCAAAGTGAGCCTCACACGTTCTAATCTTGATTACAGGTCATGGGAATCGAAAGCGGTTGATCGGCGCGTATGGCGCGATCTAATCTCGAAGGCAGTTGCTGAAGTGCGGGAGAAAGCCCTCATGCATGCAGAGAAGAAGCGGCAAGCACCGATGGATTGTAGTTCATCGATATCGAGTACATGGTGCTGTAGCACATGCGGTCACGAGTGCCTGAGTCAGGCAGGCCTAGTAAGCCATGAGCGAGGCCACTCGGGACTACTACCGAAGCGCCGACGGGTTCTGCAGAGAACATAGGCAGAACCGGCGCAGCGTTTGTAGGTACGCTGCATTCTATTTACTAACCGCGTGCTTGCATGCTAAGTCACTTTATTTCAGGTGGTGGGTTTCCAATTTTGCCCTAATGCCTTTCCCATATAAATGCCTAGTTATACTCTCTTCTATACGCTTGCACACGTCGCTTAAGCCACTTGTAGTTATTTCGATAACATTTCCGTGTTTGTAGCATTTCCGTAAAATAAACCTCCTGACCTCGTGAAATTACCTCGTTTTCTTTTGTAAACAACTTATTTCATATGCTCACTAATTTAAGACTTATGTCACCGTTTGCTTGCGTGCCAAGTCTGTTTATTTCAGGTGGTGGGTTTTTTTAATTTTGTCCCAATGCTTTGCTTCCTCGTATAAATGTCCACCAACTTACACTTAGACCAGGTCTTTTTAATGTGGATAAAATTCATTACATTTTATTCGGTGTGTTCTGCTTACTTGGCAATCTTCTCCCAATTTGCACTCGTCGCTCATGCAAACTGTGGTAAACTTGCGTAATTGTATCGCGTGGTATTTTTTAGATACCTCGGACGTATTGTACTTATCGCGGATTCACTTACAACCAACTTATTTTGTATGCTCATTTAGAGAGTATTTATGTCGTCATACGCGTTTACTTTATTCGATGTCGGCATCTTGAGTGGTTGGCTATTGTTTGACATCCCCGGTGTGGCTGCGCTTGATGTGCATGTTGACAAGGTGCCTACCTGTCTATTATCCACCACCTCGTCCATCTGGCTCCAGGAGACAGTTGGTCGTTGCTGGAGGGGACGGGGTGCACGGTCCTTGTGGTCGTGTTAGGCTCGAAGAGTGGTTCCATGCACTCAGTGTGGAGCGGACTACGGTCCAGCCACCGCCTTGTATGCGGTTGATTCCCCAAATACAGCGTGTTTGTGTTTGCCTGTGAAGGAGTGTGGGCCGGCTCCGTTGATGCAACGTGGCTCCCATCCGCATGCCTCCCGGTCTTATTCCTTCGGGTTTACACTGGATATGGGATGTGTGGGTGGTGCAGCGCAAGCCATCCACGGTCCCTCTGTAGGCGCAGGCGTCCTGTGGCTTGCCACAGTGACAGGCAAATCCGAAACCGGACGCCGCCAACCATATATATATATATATATATATATATATATATATATGCTAAAGCAGAATCGGTGTATTTGGTTTCATCTTTTCTTCGCACTCTTATTATCCCGGATTCTGGATTCTCCAAGCAGCGTCAAATAGCCATTTTTCTTGGCTTGCAGAGATAGTTTATTATACACCCTTTTCTGTCTTTTAGATGTTTCAACTATTGTGGGTGTCATACTACGCACCGCTGAAATTATTGAGAAACTGCAACCAGAACGGAAGGTAAGACTATTTTAGTAATTTATCTTTCAAACGGTAGATGAAACAACCAGACTTAGCAGAGAAGCTACAAACTTTCGTTGGACGGCTACGCAGTCTCCTATCTCTGAAACAACCATTTACTTTCGTAAGTCAGCTGTTATCGGCGTAGTTTTTTTCTCTGCGTAAATTTGCGTGTTATCGACTTCTACTGATTCACCTTACCCTGCCCCGACATTGTAACATAACATTTTAACCCTTACACCCATTCCGGACAGATTTTGCATGACCGTATCCCACACATCCAGTAAGGCAGCAGAGGACCTGTGCATTCTCTTATATATCATCGGTGATTCACACTCGGTCCATATCTCGCTGGTTTCCAACCACCCATTCTTTGCGCATAGTTTCTGGTATTATTGGACTTCCGAGAATGACGATGACCAACATGATTACGCTTTGTGCTGACTCGTGGCCTTAAGGATCACAAGCCCGGTTTGCAATCGGAGATCCCAGGTTCGAGCCCATGTAGGGGACCGGGCGTCCCTCTTAGTATCCTCAGCCCACGCGCGATTGATGACAGTTGCGCAGCAACGAAGCGTCGGCACTATGTCCTGGCGTACCACTGATTCCTTTTTTGCGCTTGTTATATTCACATTACCGGTTAATCCTTTTGACTGCCAACCACACTGCGCTGTTGATCAGCACAGTCTATACAGTGATCGTGCTCCCCATTATTAAACGTATGTACGTACAATGATTAGCGCCTACAACCCAAAAACTAACTATTTCTTGTTCATTTGTATTTGCATATTTCAGTTAGTTATCATTGCGACGACGACGCTCACAGTTTATGATGCAGGTGACTATCCAACGTAAATGGTTTGAATCAGTTCGAACATCAGCCTAGGAGACGTCGTATGACGCATCAGAAGTATTGTTCCATCTTCGTGGCCCAACTGGATTCTGGATAATATCCAACAACTCTAACTTTGGTTACCTTGTTCAACTTGGTCAGGAAAGATGAACATCAATAGCTTTGAGTTCAAATCAGAGGTCTACGGAAATACCTTACAACCATCCTCGACATAGTGTGCGCCAAAAACTAGTCAAATTTACTGTATACACCATTAGTTAAGGGCCAATGTAGTTGGGAATGCTGCTGAAGAGTGCTGAATGGTAGATCTCTGAGCACTGGTTCATTTGCTTTAACAGCCGGTTTCGATTTCTTCGTAAATTGTTGAAGATGGTGAACACGGCATGCTGCTCACCGTGCGCTACATCCATGAGGTTCCTCTCAGATTGTAGCTTGTACTTAGAAATCTTTCTGGATCACCGGTACCGACAGTTTCTCACCAATAAAGCACCATGCTAAACTAGCCGAGTCGTGTCACCGATAAGAGCTTTTCGCCCGTTATTGTTTTACTTTGCTATATGAGGCGCGTTCTCCAACCAACCAGAGCCTTACCTGATGCATATAGCCTAAGCACAGTTAGTTGGCTTTCAAAACCGCATGGTTTATCACTCAAGTGATGCACCGATCTGCGTAGTTGTGTATGGTGCACAGACCAAATAGGTCAAATTTTACTTCCATAGAAGAGGTCATCTTTTACAATGACCTTGTATACCTATGGAAATTCCCTTTCAGCAACATCGACGTCGAAGTTCTGCGAAACAAATCCTAGCTCTCGCGGACTAGTTTCAGCACCTAACCTTTTCCCACTGCTGATGTAGTTGCTAACCTAGATGCATTTATAGGCTGTCCATTTGCTCGTTGTCAGGTCTTAAGGAGTTTAAGGCCGTGGTGCTACTGCAACGACATTTCGCACTTCAAAAATGCTGAGCGCACACCGAGGTCTGAAGCTGATTTTGAGAGTTTATTCGGAGTAAACTCTTAAGTGCCGCAAAATGAGGCGACGTCTTCCGCGTGCAATGCATCCTCCAATTTTCGCACAGAGATCATGCACTGTTACCTCCCACAATGCAACTTTTCAGGATGAAGTCTACGGAAAACATGGGCAAAATAATGCAATAAAACAGACCTGATTATCACCGCTTGTTGCCGGAAACGCATTTGACAAAGCTTTACGGACCCTGGTGCGACCCGTTTTCTCGAGTGTAGTATTTTAAAGTGCAATCGACTGAATCTAGTGCGATCTTGAAGTCAAGGAATACAGTTGGTCGCTTACGGTACCTATGGCACCGCTCTAGCACCTGCCATGGGATGAGCACATGGTCTGCACGACCTCATCTCAGATATAAACTGGTATACCGGTATACTGTCGAATGAGCCGAAAGTAAGACAGGAGAACAATCAAGTTGCCCAACAGAAATTTGGCTATAGATGTTAGCCCCAAAGAAGTGGGTTACTCTCTGCAATGAATTATCACAGTCTGTTGGCTTAAACTTATTTCAACTACGATCGTTCCTCCTACCCACATAAAATATAACCCGATGTTAGTAGCCACCAGTTCCAGCTTTGTTTTACAGAAATTTGAGGGCATCGTTTATTTGTCATTAGCCTCGTATGCACCGTCAATTGGGCTTTCGCGTTGCTTGATGTGTTCAGGCGCGGGCATGACCAACGCCTACGAAATATTAGACTGGCTCATCCAGACCGCGATCATTGCAGGCTATCTACGCTTGTGCATCTCAGGGGACATTACTCATCATTAATCGCAGATGGTAGGCTGTTGTGTTTGAAACAATGGTACTACAATTTATGCTTGTTGAAATAGCCTAGGCTTAACATGTCTCGTAGGTTGGCAATGGAAAAAGTTGCAAATTCCAAATAAGATGCCCATCATGCAGCGATAGAGCTGTGGCATATTGGAGTAGGGTTGTAGGAGTTATTTAATGCTAAGAAAAACAGAATACCAAGTTTTTGTGGTTAATGCTTATCGCAAATAACAATTGAATTGCTCACTCGTTTGTAAAGGTTTATGTGCGTCACTGTAGGTCATCATACCAAAGAGGCTAGTTATCCTGAATATATCCCGGAACATCCGTGCATCTCACAAAGTGTAAGGGGCTCAGTGAGATATCTAAAAGCGTTTTTTGATAATGGCAAAGGTAAGGCACAGTTAACTAACTTTCCAAGGTTTGCGAACCCGAAGGGAGAAGTAGCTTCGTTCACAATCGAGTCGGCTGTATGGTTGACTCAGTTTTAAGCTACTGCCTCATGTTGTTGTTCAGGCTGTTTCAGTAAGTAGCGAATTACGGGACTCGGGTCGCTCGGTATTTGCTATACAAATGTAAGGCCTCCACGTCGACGTTAGTAGCATCCGCTGAACGTTCTAAGTTTGTTCAGCCGCTCCTAGAACGAGTGGTGACGCAAATCCTTGACATTTTTTGTTACCTGAAGATGCGGATTTGAGCGCTGCGAGGTCTTGTTTTAGCCAAGGTTGCCTAGCCTGGATAGTCTATTTGACATCGTCAGTTTTAGTTTATGATCTCTCCCCATCTCCTACACCTTCTGTCCTTTCGGAGCAGTGTCATACCAGGTGGAGTAATCTCAATATCGGTAATCTTGCGGCTCCTTTAACGTCCCGTTGATCGTTATGATATCTCAGGACTCTGAATTCTGACTACCACGGAGTTCCACCAATTTAATACGAAGGTATTGCTCACGACTGTACAAGCAGGAAAATGCATTAATAACCAAAAGCGAGTTATTGGACGTTTAACTAAGATTGTGCCGACAGTTGAAAGGCAAGCCACTAGCGTTTTTGTGTGCAGTCGTGTGCAGTCATACGCACGCAGCTTTCCTGGCCATGGTGTTCGTTCGTATTTCATCGGCTGCCTAGGTTTCCATTAGGTCAATCCGTTCACTAGTTTTATGGGCGAGTGATTCACGAATTTGTCCATTCCTAGTGAGTTATCAGCCACATGTGAGTCCGCTACTTTTTTATCGAAATTCTATAGTCCTTCTCTTGTGAGGTTTTTGGTTTGGTGAACTGTGGAGATTGCGTCGGTGCTGCTATTAAAGTCAGGATTTTGCTCAGTGGCGTTTATATTGAGGCAATACATGTTTACGATTCCCTGCTTTTCTCGAAGTGAACGGACTCTAAATCGGTGATATCATCATGGTCACTGACCTTATTTGGGCCTCACCGTTGAAAGGAGTGAGGCAGGCACGCTCGACGATTTCTCGCTTATTCTAGTTAGGCGAGCCAGAGGATCTGAAGGCACAGGGCACCACTACAAAGTAGTCGCTGCCTTTTGCTTTTCTACAACATGTCTGGTTATTCCAGTTATGGTAAAGGTGCTTCATATCTTGGACGGATAAAACGATCTAATGCTATTTGAACACGTAATCCCAACTTAAGGACTTTACCGCATTTCTTTGAAGAGCACATGTCGCGCTGCATCACGCTTGGTATGCTAGCTGTATTTTTTGCGAACGTCGTGCAACAAAAAACTTATTTTATATAGCAAAAGTGTCAGTGTCTCTACCTTATAGCATACACTCCACTGATCGTGGAAATGTATTCCGATGTTATCTGGCACGTCAGTTTACGTTGTTATAAGCAAATGATTCTTTTCAGTAATGTCAAGACTACTTTGTACGAATTATATGTAAATGTACTGAATCACCGCATATACAGAATACATCTATGTGGCATTTAAAACATCACTGAAACACTTGCCCATAACTACTGACTGCAGCTTGGCACTGGGAAATTGTGACTTCGCCGAGATCGACACTTGTATAATCAAGTGACCTCAGGTTACAGAAACCAGCAGAAATCACCCACCATAGAAAGCGTGTACTTGCCACTGTAGCGCTGCTCCATAACTGTAATGTCTTGGTGAAGACGCTCACCATATTTGTCGCTAATAGATTCCAAATTCTCGGGGGAAAAGTCGAGGTAATTATGCAACAAGGGCATCTTGAGTGACATTCGAGCATCAACTGCCCGATAGTCCACAATGAGCATTTTTGTGATGTCTTTGCGCTTCTTTGCGTTTGTTCTGCCCACCAATCCTGTACACACTGCCTTGAGTGATCACCACGCTTCTAACTCAACTGAAATAAATTGGTATTCGAAACCACTGCCTGCCATTCTCAGGCGAAAATCAGGACCAATAAGTATCACTTCTTTGAGGTTCGCATCACTGATCTTCGGAAACCTTTTTAAGTACTGA